ATTTAATTTCACATGTCCCCTCCTGACACAACTGATAGATTAACATTGGGAAAATGTTCTATTTGCAAATAGAGAAAATCAGAACCAAATCAGTCAGATTAGAGTTCCAGGTTTCCATATGCAAAAGTTTTGGAAACTGTATTAGCTCAGTTTGCAAGAGATGCAGCAGGGCACAAAAGTATATCTTAAGATTCTGCAAAGGTCTCTTCTTCAAGTGTCATCAGTGTTTCGGGAAAGTTTGGGAGCTCCATGATCTCAGGAGTGATGTGCATACTCCAGCCAGAAAGCGCATAGCCCACCATGCTTTCTCTGCCTGGGAGCCTCCCTCCCATTGGCATCTTCTGGGTACCTCTCACTGCTGCCCCCACTCTTCTCCTACAAAGCTTCCTAGTTTGTGATCTCAAATCTACAGTCCCATAGAAAATGAGAAACATCACCAGATCTCTAAATGAATGTAGGTTTTCCTCTGGCTTACTGGTTTGCTGTTTTCCCTGTCTTTGCTAATTTTAACCTTCATCTCAGACAGCAGACTCAACAGTCCTGTTGCCTTGGCAACGATGATAGGATAATAGAATTAGAATGTCCCAGGGTACCATTCTAGCATCACACTCTTGGAAGAAAGGAGAACAACACAGTTGTGAAATACAGTCTATTTTTCAATCTGCTCATTTTAAACTCATGGCCTTTACTGGGCAAAAATAATGTATAGTAAAATTTCAGTGATTTCTTAAAAAAAATTCAGCCGTGACAAGAAGCTTACATTAGGTTAGAGATTTTAGTGGTATGTATTTTTTTTTTCAGTCAGCTTTGCATGTTTCAATTGACATTCTAATTTTTCATCAATTTAAAACTGAGTGAAAAAAATTATCTGTAGGGTAATCACTGAGCGTTTTCCCATTTTCTCTCTAAGGTTTGGAAATTGTTAAGGATCTTACACTTTCTCTAGGTGCATTCTAAGTATGGAAACAGAAACTGACACCCCTGGGCCTTGTACTCCTGAGCGACCACACTCAGCACTGACATCCTCTCCAAATCTGTCACTATTTTGAAAAACTGCTTTCAGTTTCTGTGTTAGTTTTAGACCATTATAATAAATGCCGAAGATACATTATATAGAGAAGAGCTTTATTTATGTTCACAGCTTTGAAGGTGCCAGCCCATAACTGGTTGGACTTGTTGCTTCTGGGCCTATGGCCCCTGGCACATTGTGGCAGAGGCACATGGCGAGGCAAAGATGTAAAAAAGAGAAAGAGGAAGAGACCGGGTCCTCTTATTCCCTTTAACGGCACATCAGTGACCTACAGACTTCTTAACAGGCTCCACTTAGAGTTTCCGCTACCTCTGAGTAACAGCACGCTAGTGACCAAGCCTGTAATACATGGATCTTGAGATCTACATTATAGCAATTTTTCTAGGCTGACATCTCTTTCTTCTTCCTCCTTTCTTTACCTTCCTTCCTCTTCCTTCTTTCTCCTTTCCCATGCTTGTCCTCTCTCCCTCCCTCCCTCCCTCCCTCCCTTCCATTCTTTTTTTCTTGTGATGCTGGAGGCTGAAACCTGTGCCGCACACACGCCAGGCAAGCACTCTGGGGCTGCATTTTATCCTCAGCCCGCTAGGCTGACACTTCTCATACCGTGACTCTACTTTCCTGTTCTCTTGTTTCTATACTGATTCAGGCAAAATCTCAAGAATAAACTTTGATCTTTATGATATACATATAGTAGGGTACCTTTAGTATATCTGGATCTGACTTAATACAGTATTTAATTCTTAAATGCTTTGCTCATTTATCCTGTCTGAATTTTTCACCATTCCATGGCAGTTGGATTTGCTTTTGGAATGGTTCCATTCAGACTTTAAAAATGAAAACTTCTCTATAGCATAAAACTATGCATCATTAATTAATTCCTTATAGGAAATTAAGGTATAGAATTTATATACTAATATCCTAGAGAACTGAGGCAGTCATTTTTTAAAAAACTTTTTTTAACCATAAGGTATATATAGATATAGATATAGATAAATATACATAGATATTCTACAGTGTGATAACTGATTGAAAAAGGACATAAAATGATTCATTTTTTTCTCCTTCCAGCTTAAAAAAATCATAGACACACAATATATAAAAAACTCTTTATTTAAGGGGAAATAGCAAAATCCTTGTTTCATGCTAGAAAATTAGTTTTGGGCTACTTGGTACTTAGAGGACTGTATATTCAGGCATTTGGTTTTGTAAGGTGGAGATAATTTAATCAAGTTTTTAGTGCATAAGTAGCTAACTGGACTTCTTGCTCTTTGATTTCTTCTGGGACTTAGATTCTGTAGGCAAAATACTGCATATGCTTTATAGCATTCAGTGGTTTTTAATGTATTATATCTGGTACCACCAATAGCATTTTATCAGTCAGATCTTTTGCTTTACAGATGAATTTGCCACCTAATGTATGGACTGGAAACAAGACAAGCAGAAATGGATATAATTACTCTCCCAATCCTAAGTGTCAAGTCAGCTGGATTTTGACATTAAGATCTAACTTAGCCCATTTTAATTCAGCAAACATTTCTCTGAACATCGTTTATGTGCAAAACACTCTTACAGATACAGTGTAGGATTCAAAGATAACACTGAACTCCAAAAGCTTATTTTGGGAAGCTATGGTTTAGGGGACTCTTGATCTCCCATCTTGAGTTGTGTGAAAGTTTAGAGAATCTAATTATTTGAAGGAAATGATGGGTGCTCATTGAGTACATGGTTAAGCAGCCCCAGAAGTCTGAAACAGCCCATGTACCCTCAGGATCCATGGTGATAGTGTGAGAGCCAGCGTTGAAACCCCTGGTCCCCAGTGCAGCGCTTCACATGCTAAACACCCCATATAGAGATGTACACAGTGAAGGGGCTGCTGCTGGTGGGAGGCCTTCCTCAGTATCCAATGGATGGTAGGTTGGTTCAGTGTCAAGTTTTACAAGAAGGAATCAGAAGTCAGCAACATCATGGGATTTCCTGGTTCCCTGTCAGCATTAACTAGGATCACCTAGTTACATTTGTCTCACTATTTTCCCAGCAATATGGATTTTTAGCTAATTTAGGTACCTACTAAGAACTATGATTTTCTCTGTTGAGGACTAAGTGTTTAATATTTATCATTCTATTGAGCCCTTCCAAATACTCTATGAAACAGAAGCTACTGTATGACAGACAGGAACACTGAAGCTCATAGAGGTTAAGTCATTTTCTCAAGTTTACTCAGAGAATGACAGATCCAAGACTGAGACCAAGCACGAATAGGTACGCACATCCCCTATTCTTAACCACTGATTTATAAACCAAGAAGTCATCCATCATTTTTTATGTATTATAGTAAAAATTTTGTTTCCAAGCAATACTTTCTTTAATGCACTAAGCTGCATTTCTGATCAGAAACTCTTTACACTTCAAATTAACAGTTGAATTGTGGATGTGATGTATGGATTGTGTTAGTTATTAAAAAGGTTTTGGTATCCAACAAGCAGAAAAGTTTCAGAGACAGCTTTTTTCCCTCGTTTCAAAACCAAAGTTCTGAGAACAACACATTAGATGGTGAATCATGGCTTATTGCTTCTCCGGTGACGTGTCAATTTGCAGATTAAATGAGGAACTTGGGGCAAAAAAAATTAATAGGAACAAATGCATAATTTAAAATTTTTTTTCACTTAGTTAATATCCATTTCCTCTGTACTCACTATTGTGTATTCTGAAAGACTGGACATTTTCACATAAAATGGTATTTTTTTTTTACCTTGTACCACTGGTTCTCTTTGTCCTTAAATGCAATAAAATGTAGAGCAATGTAGTTCAAGCACTTCTATTATATGTACTGCAAGAAAATATACCACATTAGTAATGTCTTTAGTAACACTATTCATGACTTTTATTTTCAACTTGTTGCTATTGTATATTTTCAGAATTTTCTCAAGGAAGTGTACATGAAAACTATGAATATTAAAAACTTGAGATACTGTGCCCGAGTTAGTTGCTTATTATCACTCTGAAGATGTGGACAGCCTAAAGCACTTACTGTAGAACACATTTCAACATGACCTTATAATTTAAGAGGTTCCTTGAGTACTGGCCAAAGTGATAGAAAATACTCTGAGCACAGTATGTAGAGGTCTCTTCTGCGTGCACGGGCAATTTGGATGTAATATCTACCAATGCTGATCACTTGGATGCTTTGGCTGATCTGGCTGGCCTAGAGGATTTTCCATTCTTCCCTCACTATTCCATGATACCTTTCCAAACCCTTCTTCCATCAAAGAAAACCATGCTTTCTACTAGCAGAAGTAGGAGGGTAATGAACCAAAAGTTTTCTTTTTTCAGTCTGTTAAAAAGCTTCTTTAGCAAGACTACTTGAACTGAAGATGTGCATTGGAAATTCATCTAATATAATATAGATGGAACCCAATTGATAATTTAATGAGAATTAATTGTGATAGATGTCTGCAACACGTAGCACTTTCACTGTCCTTTTAAAAAAATCACCTAGTGAGAGTGTAAGCAGAAATTAGTACTCTGAGAATTCCATGACATCGCCTATTCTACAAGTTTGAGTCCACATTTTACCTCTAACCTCTGCAGTCCGAACAATAATTACACTTACCATCTGCTTCAAAGTTTGTCTTTCATTTCTTTGCCCTACACTTTTTCTGTTTCATTGCATGCCACTGTCTTGCACTTGTCCTGTTAGAGAGTCCACCACTGTCATTTAATATTTAAATGCCAGGATCATTTTGCAGGTTTAAGTTTAAAGGTAACCATAGCGCACACGTACACATTCATTATTAAAAGCAGAGATGCAGTGTATGTTCTTGGGAATCCTCTTTCCTTTCAATCTTAGTTTCATAGGAGGGCTACTGTCATCAGAACTTAGCTCTGGTGATCCTGTGTGGCAAGCGGATGAACTAGTGCACTATTGATGGATCCAGAATGATGTGAACTGTTCCGGTGGGAGAAGGCGACCATGCTAAAAAGGGAGATGAAGCCGGAAAGTGACAGGCCACGGAGAGTCCGGTTTCGGATCGCATCTTCTCACAGTGGGCGAGTCCTGAAGGAGGTTTATGAAGACGGGCAACCCTCGGGCTCTCTAGATTCTGAATGCGCCAGTATCTGTGGGATTGATGGACTCAGTGATTCTGACGGACAGAATGGCCACACAGGATCAGAAGGCGACGAGCAGGAGAATGATCAGGATAACTTGCTGGTGCTAGCAAGGGCTGCCAGTGAGAAGGCCTTTGGTACAAGAAGAGTCAACATTTTAAGCAAAAATGGCACAGTTAGAGGCGTCAAATACAAAGTGAGTGCTGGCCAAGCTCTATTTAACAATTTGACCAAAGTATTACAGGTAAGGCATTACACTTCCTCCTACTGAGCTTTGTTCCTAACTGGCAATCTTGAACACCTCTCAGTTCTCTGGTTTAAAACAAGCTTTTCTTATTCATGACTCCTTCATACTTCATGAGACACTGCCTATCTAAGAGATTGATTGTCTCTACAGTCAACAATTCAAAACAGGGTTGTTATTCTTGGCAAACTAGACTGACTTCTCAAAGCCAATTTTCTAACACTTAAGTGGGCTTTCTTCTGGTATACAATGACTAAAACAATATCTATACTTCTTAGCCAAGAAGGAGACAGACGGTAGTGCTGAAGGTATTTCATCAAAACCTAATTAATTTCTTCCTGGTTTGGCTTCCTTAAATCACCCACACAGCATTTGTCATCACTTGTATAGAAAATGTTCAGTGCTTGAACACAGTAAGATTGGACTCAATGGGAATTTGCAAAGATATAAGACTGTGCTTTCTCCCATTCCCAGAGAAGTTGTAGAACATTTTTCCATTAATTTTTTTCATAAAAACTCTTGAGCACATTCAAAAACCTATTCCTCTATAAAAGTACACACTGAAGTCCTGATTATATAGAATATAACATCTTTAAAATGTGGTGGATCCTTTACACTAATATATGGTTATATTATTTTGATCCTGGAGTCTTTCACAATAATCTAATGATGAAAGAAGTATTTGAAATTGCCTGGAATTATTGTCAAAACCTTTTCTTAAAAGCAGTCATCATTATTTCAGCAACTGAATTTATAATCACTATCATTACGGTAGCAAACCAGTAGTTTTCATCATAGTGCCATTTTAGGTTATTTTCAAAATTTAAACAAAAAGGTAATATGTTAAATTTTTCAATGCTTGCCTCTAGAGCTTGTAAAAACTCAGGAGTGGGGGAGGATAAGAAAGAATTTTAGCAAAAGGTACTCGAAAATACTTTATTTCAAAGGAAGCATTTGAAAAGATCAGATCATGAAGATTTTTAAAAATTTAAGTTTTAGTTAAAGAAAAAAGTAATTAAGACCAAAGCTTCTTTTGGTACATAACACTTACCCATGACAGATTTCCAGAGATTAAGGGTGTGGGCCGAAATGAGAAACAGATGTCTACATTTTCTAGAGAATAATCCTGCATGGATTTATAGAGGTATGACTATTAGGCTAAGTGGGATGAGTTTCATCCAAGTTAAAAATCAACATTGGCCAAGTCTAGACCAAGATTCTTTGTAACAATTGTTTAAAAATGTTTGCATTTACTGTACTTAAATTAACTTGCCATTATTTGAGTTGATTTCTGATTTGGAGAGTTGTATATAAAACTGGTATACTAGTTTTAGTACTTTGACTTTCATCTTACGCTAGTCTCTCCCAATACTATCGTTCATGAGTAGGTCTCTTAAATCTTCAAAACCTACAAGAGAATAACTATTCTTCCCGTGTTTTCACCTTGGAATAAAAGAAATAAAAGAAATCCAAAGTCAAAATTGTAATACCAAATTAGGTTATAATATTCACTTGCATACTTTCTATGCACAGTTGTCACCCTTTTGTGAGAATAAATCAAATAAAACTGTCTAATACTGAATTCAATGCCATTCACTTATGGCTTTAAAAGGGCAAAAAACAGTTACTGGCAGAGGTTCCTTAAAGTCTTTGATATTTAATCAGGTTTCCTTCCCTCCCATCTTGTCATTCCTTCTTAATAATGTGGCTAAAGTAACCAGCATGTTGTAGATAATCACAAAACTTAGTTATCATCTTTAGTTTTATCATCGTCACTACCATTAGCAGCATCAAGTGGATATTCTTGAATTTCTTTAGGACAAAGAGATGGAAAAGGAGCACTTGGGTCGGGGCTGCCAGTGGCAGTAATCATTGTCTACGAGCATCACACCTTTGAGTTGTGCAGTGCAACCTGTGCAGCATCAGGGAGACAACTGATTTGAATGTTTGCCTTTTGCTAAGGGTTGCACAAGTCACAGCTAACTCAAGTCTCAGGGCTTTGTCTTAGGACGCCTGGGAAGGTTCCCATAGGCGTCTCACAATGCAGTAGCAGAGAAGCCACAGAAGCTGAAAGTTAACATTCAATTACTTCTGTACCCACTACTAGGTATGACTTTCCCCCTGGATCTCTGCATACTTTCTGTAGTGCTTGAAAAGTAAGCAACAAACCCATATAACTAGTTTAGCAGTTCCTGTCATGGAAGAAAAAGTGAGCAGTTGGTATCATGGATGTTTAATTAAGTTCCAGTGCACTGCCAGTCTTATGAACAAGGAGCTGTGATTGAAGAAAGAGTCAGGCATTTCTGCCTGTTTTAAGCTATAGTATCTTAAAGCACTCAACTTGAAACTTGTGAGGGATCCCTGAGTATAGCTTGTACCTGAGTCAAAAACCTAATAAATCTCTTTGCTTCCTCTCTATTAGCTTTCTACTCTTATGCCTATTTCATAAATGGCTTGCAAACATTTCAACAGTACAAAGAATAATGCTTGAAATGATTTTTTTTTAACTTTTTACTTTTCAGCACTATTTATGTAGAATAAAGTCTATAAAAGAGATAGCAGAACAAAGGTCTATTTCATTTGAAGATGCACAAAACAAATTAAGATTGTTAAGTGATGGGACCAAGAAGCAAAGAAAGAAAGGTCACCAGGCTGCTTGCGTGGATTTTGTAGAGGGTGGGTTAGTAGGTGAATCTCTCTTGAGTCTCCAGCTGTTTTAGATCCAGGTGATTAAATTTTTCATCTCTCAGAGAGGTAACAAGACTACAATGCTTAGGAGAGGCTAATTTGGAAATCTGGAAGCTTTGAATCTAATTGTGGTTTAGAAATATGAATTTATTGAAAGCTCTTAAGTTTGAAAGTCATTGATGTAGCACATAACAGGGAAATTTTCCCAGTTCCCTAAGGTAAAAAATACTTCTGAGTTTCTTTATGTCTTCACAGTTAATGAGGAAAATGAAGATCATATTGATCAATGATTTTTTTATGAGATTAGTTTATCAGGAAGGTCTTTCCTCAGCCAAAAATGAACAAAGGTTGTCCCAGCAGCTATATTTGCTATTGATAACCTAATTTATCAGTTAATTGGAGGTTGACACTGGAAGAGGATGACTTGGTTGTCACAAGCAAAACTGGTGCTCAGCATTGTTTACTAACTCAGGATGGATGATATCTCTACATGTTTCTGTCAGTATTTCCTATCCCTCTCTGGTTCACTAAATCTAACTGCAGAACTAGAATATTCCAGCAATAACAAAATGATGCTCTTGGTGACTCCTTGGTCTTGCTGGGATTTTGGGGATCTTTTTTTGACCACTGTATATAAATGATGATAAGAGTTAACACTCACTAAGTACTTCTTGAATTTCAGGCACTGCTTATATTATTACATGTATTAAAATATTTATTCCTTACCACAACACTGTGAGTTATACTATCATTAATAAATTAGCTATAATTTGATCTCTTCTGTATATAAAACATTAAATTGTAAATTTAAAATGTCACACAGAGAAATTCTTATGTAATTTTCTATCAAAACAAACAATCTATTAATGCACTTTTAACTAGCTGGCAACAGCCAAGAAACTCTAAAATTTTTTATATAATTCCAAATGATGCGAGAAACTACATTAAGAAATCAGGTGATTTGCTATCAAAATATCGGGAAAGAAAAGGCATCGAAGATGAGTTTTTACTACTGCTATATTATTAATGTGCAATTAAAGATTATAGACTTGTAGAGTCCTGTGACTACTTTTTATGTGTTATTCCATTACTGCTCTTCTCAGAGCTGTAGGCTTTGACACTCAGGAGGACCTCAGTAAATGCTTTTGCTTTGAATTAATGAATTCTGTGAATTTTTTGGGGTTATTTCCCTCTTTTGCATCCTTTTTGGTTTGGAGATTTCCTATACTGGATAGCACTATAATTTGTGGGTGAATTGTTGCTAGCTTGCCCCATCCCATTCCTTGTCTTGTAGGTAACCTTTAACATTCCTTGCATCATTCACTTAATAACCATTCATTGCATATCCACCTTAGAGAAGCCACTAGTTTAGACAATGTAAGAAATAAACCTCATTTTCATGTAATATTCAGCAGTGTATTGCGAATGGTTGTGTAAAGCAATTTTGGAAAGGATTTACGTATAAACTTGATTTCATTTGCCATCTCTAGGAGATTCTGTTTTCTTCTTGTCCCTGCAGTCCCTGCTGTTCATCGTTCATTTCTACAGTCCTTATATTTTTCTCCTAGTTTTTTTCTCTGTAGATCATTATTTTATTGGATCTTTTATTTCCTTTCTCTAATGTACCTTTTGCCTCAAGGACCAAGAACTAAAGGTGATCTGCATAATTAAGGACACTTATCTTGATCCTACAAATCTCCAGAAATCAATAACAGTGACTGATCATGAGCACTGATATATCCAATTCCTGTGAATCTAATAAAGCCTTCTCTTTAGCTTGATAAATAGAAAATTAGAAAATCTCTATTCTCCCCTACCCATCAGAACTCATATCATAATAGCATTTCAATTTGTACAAGTTTGGTTTCTATGGCCTGAACTTATTTTATGAATCCATTTGAACTCTGACTTCAGATCAACATGCTAAGCAGTCTCACAGATTCTACAAGATGATTTGCCATTGCCTTTTACAGGCAGAGCATAGTTACCACATAATTAAAGAATAAGTATCTGATGTTTCTAAACTTTAATTATAAAATCTTTACTGATACATAATTCATGCATCACTCAATTAATCTATTTAAAAGGTATATAATTTTAGTTTGTTTAGAAAGTTGTATAACTATCAATGCAATCAGTATTCTCATCAACCCTCCCTATCCAGTCATAGTCATTATCCATTTCTTTGTCCTTTGTCCACTTATTCTTTCCCCACAAAATCCCCTAGGCTCAAGAACTTATGAACTTTCTGTCTCTGTTTGTTTGCTTGTTCTGACCATTCAGAAATTATTCCTCCTATTTAATGGTAGTTA